GTATGTATGTATGTATGTATGTATGTATGTATGTATGTATGTATGTATGTATGTATGTATGTAGGTATGTAGGTATGTAGGTATGTAGGTATGTAGGTATGTATATGTATATGTATATGTATATGTATATGTATATGCATATGCATGTATATGTATATGTATGTATATATTGATATATATCTTTAAAAAAACCATGAGGCCAATGCAAAAGTATATAATGAAGCCTTGGCAGAGATCTTAAAACAAAACAAGCTTGGGTGATATTTGTTTGATTCATGAGTGAGTAACCTGTAGCTTGTGAACTGCACACTAGACCCCTATCCTCATTCAATCAGCTGAGCAGCAACAGTTAGTCCTCAATTTACAACCACAATTGAGCCCAAAATTTGCTAAGTGAAAAATTTATTAACTGAATTTTCCCCAATTTTGACCTTTCTTGTCCCCCAATTGTTTAAATGAATCATTGCAGTTGTTAAGTCAGTAACGAGAGTTGTGAAATGAATCTAACTTCCCTATTGACTTGCAAATGGTGATCGCATGATCCCGGGACACTTCAACCATCATAAATATGAGTCAGCTCCAAGCATCTTAATTTTGATCACGTGGCCATGAGGATTCTGCAATGGTTGTAAGTGTGAAAAACAGCCCTAAGTCACTTTTTTCAATGCCGTTATAACTTTGATCAGTCACTAAATATATTGTTGTAAGTTGAGGACTACCTGTGTCAGGCAGCTGGGAGGTAACAGATTACTCTTTCTTTCCTGTTAGTTTTGATCACAATCCCTTCACATCCCACCAACTTACCTCTTTGGTTCTCTCCAGCAGTTTCCTCACACACCCTCATCCAGGAATGTTCCAGTTGTGCGCCTATGGTGTTGTTGCCAGGTTCTTCCCAAGGGATTCTGTAGCCTCATCTATGGAACAGATATAGTGTTATGATTGTCACTAAAATGATCAGTGAGCCTGCTAGGTGGCAGCACTTAGCTGACAACATCCAATTTTGGAAAATTAAGCAGCAAGATCGGGCCAGTGCTTGGAGGGGAGACCATCAGGAAATCAGAGAATTTTATAAATAGAAAACAACAAAAATTCAGGTTAGCCATTTCAAACCACCTCAGTATTTATGCTCCCAAATTAACAAGGATGTCTTAATGTAGTCCTTGGAAGTCAAACTCAAAGTATAAGGAATTCAATTAACATTAATATCACTGTCAAGAAAGATCTTGGAATATGCATGAAGTCATTGTTCAATTTTGTCTAATTAAAGTAGAAAGTTCCAAATCAAATTGTTTGTATGTTCAAAATCAATTTATACAAATGTAAGTTTGGAAACTACTGGCAGTGAGAAGTTATCTACACTCAAGCAAAAATCTGTGCCTGTTTAAAAGATATTCATAAATGCTTTTCAAACATGTAAAAAATATACAGGTAGTCCTCAACTTGCAACAGTTCGTTTAGTGACCAAAGTTATAATGGCACTGAAAAAAGTAACTTATACCATTTTTTTACACGCATGACCATTGCAGCACCCCTGTAGTCATGTGATCAAAATTCAGACACCTGGCAACTGACTTATATTTATGACCCTTTTACTATCCCAGGTTCATGTGATCGCCTTTTGCCACCTTCTCCCAAGCAAAGTCAATGGGGATTTACCTAACAACTGCATTGATTCACAACTAGGGCAAGAATAATTGTAAAATGGAGCAAAATTCAGTTAACAAATGTCTCAGCAACAGAAATTTTGGGTTCAAATATGGTCATAGGTTGAGGACTACCTATACAAGTATTTGCATGTGTGTTTGTATGTATTTGAAAAAAATTACATGAAAATAACATGAAAAATGTATAGTAGAAATTTAAGAAAAAAAATTAAACAAAAAGTATGAAAAAGGTACTGGAAAAAAAGCTTCTGATCTTCATAGCAGTTACAAACAAGCTTATTTCCTCCCACCCCCTTTAAAATTTTGTACATATTTCCCCACTCCTCACATTTAACCATTTTAATGAATAAAAACAAAAATCACCCATTACCCACACCACGTCATTTTTAACCATTTTCAGCAAAAACTCCAACTGCAAATATTTCGGTCAGTAGTCACTGGCTTTATAATATTCTTCCCACATTCTTCAAACATCCTTTGTATCATCCCTGGTGTAATGTTTTTTCCTGGTGTTTGAGGTGTTAGTGGTCCTCTTCTCTCTTCTTTCATTGCTTTCATGATAATGGCCATCTTTCTTTTTATTTTTTTAATTTGTCTAACAAGGAAAAGCAACCAAAATGGAACCCTTCTTCTTTCCCCTTTTTTCTCTATGGTCTTAACTCATAGTACCATTCAACATGTTCTATAGGCATTTGGAAGGTCTGCATTTTTTTAAAAAATTGAAAATACTTTACAATAAGTTAGGTATTTGACTTCATCCAAATCCTTTATCCATTTCTAATTTCCATAGACATAACTCTTAGAAAACCTTTTTCTGTAGATTATTTTTAAATCCTTGTAGTTAAATTCCACCCCCCACTTTCCCTTATTCATGCCCAGGGTCATAGGAGCATTCAACAGGTCTCATTTTGCTGCTGCTTCAAGGATATCTGTAACCTTTAAATAATGCAGATCTATTTTGGAAAGTGAAGTCAGACCCAATGTCCATTACAGGCTCCACTGAGGCTGCAAACACCTATTTCTTCCTTGGCCTCTGGTGCTTACTCCCAAGATGCCTGCAGGGTCTTTGGAGACTTCCCAATGAAGAGCTATGTTCCGAAATACAAGATTAATCTCTTCAGCTTCTCCTTATCGAGAGAATTGTACCAGTCTGGGATCACTATTGTCATAATTCTCCACTTCAGAATCATTCCTGCTCTTCAAAGATGCATCAGTTTCCACTTGGAAGTTGAAAAACCCATATTTTCATTTGATGAAATAGGAATTAAGGTAAAGGTAAAGGTTCCCCTGCACAGGTGCTAGTCATTCCCAACTCTATGGGGCATTGCTCATCTCCATTTAAAAGCCAAAGAGCCAGGATTGTCTGAAGAAATCTCTATGGTCATGTGCCAGCAGGACTTAACGTTGAAGGTGCACGGAACGCTGTTACCTTCCCACCAAAGTGGTCCCTATTTTTCTACTTGCATTTTTACCTGCTTTCGAACTGCTAGGTTGGCTGGGACAAGTAATGGGAGCTCACTCGGTTACGCGGAGTTGGGATTTGAACCACCGAACTGCTGACTTTTCTGATCAACAAGCTCAGCATCTTAGTCACTCAGCCACCACGTCCCTCCTATTTTATATAATATGCACATTTAAAATGCATTGTTATATAGTATGCACATTTAAATGCATAAGGACAGCTTATCTGAGCACGTTTGAATCAAGTTCAATCACTCATCATTTTAGCAGGGATGGATTTAGTTTCTTTATGGCCAGAATGATGTATGTATGTACGTATGTACGTATGTACGTATGTACGTATGTACGTACGTACGTACGTACATACATACATACATACATACATACATACATATATATATCAGTGATGTGCAGTGAGGTTTATGGCTGGTGAGGCAGCAATTTTTTTAGACTTGTGGACTTCAACTCCCAGAATTCCACAGCCAGGCATGCTTAGTTCTGATTTAAAGTGACAGCATTTGTTTTTCTCCTTTGCTAAATAAGTTTCCTTCATTCTTTTTCTTTTTCTTCTCCCTTCCCCTCCTTCCTCCCTCTCTCCCTCCCTCCTCCCTCTCAAACACACACACACACACACACGTTGGATTGGACTATCTCTCCTACCCCCTTCCCTCTCTCATTCAAACAAACTCTCTCTCAAACAAGCACACGCACACACACACATGCACAAAGTTGTATTGGAGGGAGTCAGGGAGACCACAGGAGGAGGCAGGAAGCCAGTCAAAGAGCCATACTGGAGCGCACACACACTTTCCCCCAGCCCCGGAAGGATCCAGCCCAGCTTCACTGATTACAGGTTTCAGAGAGGATTTCAACTCTGCTCTTGCCTGCCATCATGAAAAGAAAAAAAAATGTAAAAAGGAAAAAGGCAAGAACTGAGGTCAGGCTGAGCTAGTTGCTGCCAGAGTCAACGTGGATGACTCTGCTTAGTGCTTAACTGTTTAAAAAAGCCTCTAAAAAGTGCCCTCTACAGGAGGAGGCGGGAGAACGACATGCCTCTTCTACGTCAGGAATTTTTCGGTTTTTAACCCTTGCTTAACTCTGCTTGAGTGATCATAAAACACCAGACTAGATGAGGCACGTCGTTCTCCCGCCGCCTCCTGTAGAGGGCACTTTTTAGAGGCTTTTTTAAACAGTTAAGCACTAAGCAGAGTCATCCACGTTGACTCTGGCAACTAGCTCAGCCTGACCTCAGTTCTTGCCTTTTTCCTTTTACATTTTTTTCTTTTCATGATGACAGTGGTGAGGCTCTGCCTCCCCTGCCTCCCCGTCCCTGATATATATATATATGTGTGTGTGTGTGTGTGTGTGTGTATACGTATATGTATATGCATATATATTGAGGTAGAATCAGATTTAAAGATGGAGAAAGTTGGTGAGAAGAGAATAAATTAGCTGTAGAGATTAAGACATCAAGCTGGAAACCAGGAGATCATGAATTTTAGTTCTGCTTTAGGCACAAAGCCAGCTGTGACCTTGGACCAGTCTCTCTTTCTTATCCCTAAGGTAGGCAATGGCAAATTACTTCCAAAATCTTGTCAAGAAAACTTCAGGGACTTATCCAGACAGTTACCAGGAGTCAAGACTAATTTGAAAGCATGAAAAATTTAAAAAAGCAGTGAAAAATCTGAAATAATCCTCTTTTTTTGTTAGTGATGGGTACAGTACTAGAAAATCTTCCCTAAGCACTTTTCCCATCCATAAAATACACAGTAAATTTACCTAAGGTGAACTGTTTTATTTGCCGGCTGCTCAGTTACTATATTTGAATTATTGCCAGCCAGTTCCAGAATAGGTATCAAGACTCTGACAATCTGTTCCAGATATTTACATTAGATTTCATTAGATTTCATGTGAATATGGCTTATTCAGAATGTTACCTTCACCTCCAGCAGCATAGGAAGTGAGTGACAATATAGCTCAGTCTTAAAGACATTTAATCTGGTTTGCAGAAAAAAGCAGATTGCGTGAGGGATCAATTGTGAAGTAACTGAATGCTTCCCTAAACTCCTATACCAAGTGGAGTTGTTCTAATAATTAATTGATTAGTAAGTAGTGATCAGTAAGTAGCAAACTTTAAAAAGAGTGGATATCCTATGGCTCTCGAAACACCGCTGAATTAAAATAAATTTTAATTGTTGGCTACTTTGTCTCTTCCTGTGAAGTTCAATATCTAGAAAGCTATGGATTATCCACTCTTGCTTTAAAACATGAAGAATAATGAGATTCAGATTTGCTCCATTCAGACGCCTGCAAAGCAGTTTGAAGAGATTTCTCATGCTTCGAGTAGTTGTTTGAAATAAACAGGGATTAATGTAACCTGCATCCCGTTGATTTCTATCAGTGGCTGAAAGGCTGAGTGTGTCTGGCTCCACCGGGAAGGCCTTTCCCTCATCCTTCCTATGTCACTCCTTGACCCATTTCAGCCAAATGCCATTTTGTCTTTTGTTCCAACTTTTGTTCTAACTTTAATAGCCCCCTCCTCCCCATCTTGTTGCTGGGCATACTTTATGACAGCTCCTTTGTGAGGGGCAATGGGATCTTAATTTGTTCCGCCTCATTCCACATTCTTAGAAGAATTGCTAGAGAAAAGCTTCACCTTACAAACCAGAATGACTGAGTGGCTGCTCTCTTTGCTTCTTGTTGTATGCAATCTCCTTGGATAAGAACTTTTGAGGGGGTCTCTGGTACAACAAGAGTTAGCCTAGCTTTAATAAATCCTTGAAGATCCTCACCAAGTCTTGAGTCTGTCAACATATGTAACTCTGGTCACATTAATCTTTGGCTACTCATGTCTTCTACTCCTTGGGCCTTCTGATCTCTAGGATTGATTTTAGATTGTAAAGTCCTTGATGGCAGCTTGGCCCCTAATCTTTTCCTCACACAAATGCAAAATATTGTGGAGACTGATGGTGACTGTGTAATTTACATTAACAATAGTCATCCTGAAATGAAGATTGCATCAATTCAGTTTCAAAATATTGTGTGCATGCTGAGTCCATTTCAAAATGGTAAGCCCACTTCCATCCTCCAAGGTAAAAAAACAGCACCAAGTACTCAACTTCTTGAAGCTTTTTGCATGGAAAGGCATACAAGATAAAATCTTTGTGTGACATCGTACTTTCTCCCTATCAGTCATGAGCTCAATGCCAGATTTGGCCAGCAGGGGCTGTTACAGGATTGGCTGTAACAATTATTATGGGCCTTATTGTCAGCCAGATGTTTACACTGTATTTGACATTTTGTCCCCTTATCGAGTCCTTCCTAAGGACTAGGAATAGACAAGTGTTTCACAGTATTAAACATATCATCATGGGATATAAGCTGTTTCAAGTACAGCTGCCTTTTGCAATTGACTGATGTTGATTTTGTCAATGCCGGTGGTGTTCAAATGGTGCTCCAGATGAATTGAAAATAATAATTATTATTGTTATTCTCTTCTATCTCATTGTCGCCGTCATCATCCAAGGCTGTGGAGAACCTCCAGTTTGATAAAACCTGATGCTGCATGTTGGAATTGTTCCTCTGAACAGTCAGTTGCATGAAAGGATCTTTGGGGGACCAAGAGCATTGGGAGAGGCAGTATCTCTAGTTCTGCCCTCCAAACTCAACATTTCCCCAAAATGTCATTCCATTTCTTGAGTCCACTGCTCTCTTCCAAAGGACTCTCTCCCAATCATCACTCTATAGTTCTTAGAGAGGAATTAGCAGTAGCTATGAGTGAAAAAAGTAGCCAGACAAATGTTTCTTCCTCTGCTTACCCAAGAGTTCTTGCATCCTGGGTACTTGAGAGACCACCTACTGCCAATTACCTCCACCCGACCAATTAGATCCCATAGATTAGGCCTCCTCCGAGTCCCATCTGCCGGTCAATGT